GGGCGACAAGGACTTTTAAAACTTTCCCACCATATTCCAGAATACAGTTCGTACAGCATCCTTGCTACATCACTGACATGTCACCAAAGGGGAGGGGTTAGCCTTGGCAAAGATGTCCAGACAAGTCCTTGGTACAAGATTAGCATAAGCAGACATGGCAGGGCAAGACCCAGGTACCGTGGTACCTCAGGTTACATACGCTTCAGGATACAGATTCCGCTAACCCAGAAATAGCGCTTCAGGTTAAGAACTTTGCTTCAGGATGAGAACAGAAATCATGCTCCAGCGGCAGCAGGAGGCCCCATTAGCTAAAGTGGTGCTTCAGGTTAAGAACAGTTTCAGGTTAGGTACAGACCTCCGGAACGAATTAAGTACTTAACCTGAGGTACCACTGTATAAGATTAGCATAGGCAAACACCTCTGAAGTCCCACCACCCAAAGTACAATAGAACTTCCTTTGCATGTCTGGCCCCTTGGCAAGTCAGGTGATGAGATTTGGCCTCCTTTGGCTAACAATGAGCCCAGCAATTGTCACCTCTGGGAACTTCCTGGAGTCCTTTTGCAAGGGGAAAATAGCTTTGGAATGGAGGAAACTGGGAAAGGAGATGATTTTATATTATTTTTAAAGCTAGGTGACTTCCCTGAGCTGTCAAGTTGAAAGGATACATTCAGGCATAATATTTGTAACACTTAACAACTTTAAAGATGTGCCCCCCCCCCGTAATTTCCGTAACACCCCCCATGACCATCTCACCCTCTCTTTCTTTCCAGTTCTCAAGGCCCCCTCCCTAGGAGATGGCACAAAGCCCTGCGGATCACAAGGCCCTGGCGCTGGCGCTGAGTGGCGCCCAGGACTGGCTGAAGTCCCTGCAGCAGCACCACCTAGTGGGCCTGGCGGGGGCCCAGCGCTCCCTGGAGGAGGCCCTGGCTGCAGGGCTGCAGGAAGAGGAGCGGCTGTGGGCACGCGCCCGGGCAGAGCGGCTGCGGCTGCAAGGAGAGCTGGCTGCTCTCCAGGATGCCAACGAGGAGGCGGCACGAGTGGGCGCGGCCAGGATCCAGGCCCTGCGGCAGCAGCTGAGCCAACTCCATACCTGCCTCCTGGCAGCACCCTCCACCCAGAGGGCGCAGGAGGCCCGGGATCTGCTTGCCTGTGCCAGCGCCTTCTCCCTCCATCTCACCTGTGCCCGCTTCATGCCACCTCCGCAGGGATGGCCGACCCACATTCTGGGGCAGCTCCAGCTGGAGGAGAGGGTACTCAGCCTGGCCCCAAGCAAGGTCCTGGCCAGGGGCAACGGAGAAGGGCGTGGAGGAGGCCCCGCTGTGCCCACGGAAGGGAGCAGCCCAGAGGGTGGCAACAAGGAGCAGGCGAGCGAGAGCTGCCCCTCGGAGCTGCCAGGGGGGGCCCCGACTGCTGAGGCTGGACTGGCATCCCGGGGGGAGATGTGCAGCTGGGCAGAGGAGGTGGGGGCTGTGGCAGAGGTTGCTGTGAGGGAGGCCGAGGGCAGCGAGGGAGCCCTGCCAGCAGAGGCAATGCCCGCCGTCTCTGCAGCGGTGCCCACGAGTTGCTCGTCAGGGCCTGAGGAAGCAGGTGGCACAGCCAGGCCAGGCCTGTCCCTTCCAGAAGGGTCCCCCGACCCGGCCGACGCCCCTGGCACGCCCTTGCCTTTGGAGCCTGCCACCCTCTTCCGTGCCAGGGCAGTCTGGGTGCAAGAAGACGCCTCTGACAGCAGCAGCAGTGGGGAGATGGGGGCATCGGGCCCCTTCCGGGAGGTGGCTGTGCTGGGCAGCCGGGCGCCCTCAGCCAGGGGGCCCCTGCCCCGGTGGGCCTCAGCGGAGTCCCTGGGGCGGCTGCACAGAGCCAGGCAGGGAGCCGGGGGGCAGCTGGGGGGCAGCTGCCTGGAGCTGGCGGGGCGCGGAGCGGAGAGGGTTGCCTTCCTCAAGGGGACCCGGCTGGGGTGGGGGGAGCCCCCAAGCCCCCATTTAAAGTGCGCCCCAGCTGTGCCCCACCACCTGGGATCCCCCAGCCCTCCCTGCAACCGGCTGGTAGGGCAATGGGGGGCATGGGGCAGCCATGAGGGGCAGCTGTGCCTCCCGCATGGGCTGTGTGCCGCCCCCGCCGGCTCCCTCTTTGTGGTGGACTTTGGGAACCGCCGGCTGCAGGAAGTGGGGCGGGCTGGGGGGCGGGCTATGCCCCTGCCGCGGAAGGCCTACTTTGACGTGGCCCAAGGCAGGGGGGGCTGCGTGGCACTGACCAGCCCCTCTTGGCGCCGTGTGGAGCTCTACAGCGCCCGAGGCCGCCTCCTGCAAGCCCTGGCTGAGGGCTTCCAGAGCCCCCGGGGTATTGCCCTTGCCCCCCGGGGGGAGTTCCTGGTGGCCGACACGCGTCTGGGGGCGCTGCATGTCCTGGGGGTGTCCGGGGGCCGGCTGGTGCGGAGGGAGGCCGTGGGGGGCTTTGTCAAGCCTTACCTGGTGGCCACCAACAGCCGGGGGGAGGTGGCCGTCTCTGAGCGGGGACTGGACGGGGGCTGCTGCGTCAAGGTGCTGGCCCCCACCTGGCAGCTCCTGAGGGTGCTGGGTGGGCAGGGCCGCCCCCCGCTGCTCACCAACCCCTGGGGGGTCTCCCTGGACGAGGCCGGGCGGGTGGTGGTGGCCGACTGGGGCGTCTCTCCCACGCCGTCTTCTGCTACCCTCCGCGAGGGAGGGGTTGGGCCGTGGCCACCGAGGGGTTAAGCAGCCCCCGGGGGGTTGCCCATCTCGGGGAGCGCCACCTAGTGGTGGCAGACAGCATGCACCACTGCCTGAAAACCTTCCAGTACTGTTGAAAGAGGGCCAAGACTGGCTCCCCCCACCCCACCCACAGTGGGGTGCAAGACCCCGACTCCTGCTCCCCCAAACTGAGAAGGGATGCTTGTGGGGGGTGCCCCACAATGTCTTATTACAGAGGAGAGCTGGGACTCCCAGGACCAAGACACCTTCCTGCCTTGCCCCTCCCCCACCTGGGACCCCTAAAAAAAAGGAGCTGAGCAGGTATATAGATTGATTTCCTCCCGGAGCCATTCTTGTCGTTTGAGACTCCAGTGGCCTCGGTGGCCCAGGAGGGCTTCCATCGGCTTCAGCTGGTGGCCCAGCTACTTCTGTGTCTGGCCAGGGATAACCTCAATTCCGTCATCTCTGCTCTGGTAACCTCTAGGTGGACTGTCTCGCCAGAGTGGTGCATGCTCTGGTTCTCTCCCGCTTGGACTACTGCAATGCGCTCTACGTGGGGCTACCTTTGAAGGTGACCCAGAAACTGCAACTAATCCAGAATGCGGCAGCCAGACTGGTCACTGGGAGTGGCTGCTGAGACCACATAACACCAGTCTTGAAAGACCTACATTGGCTCCCAGTATGTTTCCGAGCACAATTCAAAGTGTTGGTGCTGACCTTGAAAGCCCTGAACAGCCTCAGCCCAGTATACCTGAAGGAGCGTCTCCACCTCCATCATTCAGCCTGGATACTGTGGTCCAGTTATGAGGACCTTCTGGTGGTTCCCTTACTGCAAGAAGCCAAGTTACAGGGAACCAGGCAGAGGGCCTTCTCAGTGGTGGCACCCGCCCTGTGGAACATCCTCCCACCAGATGTCGAAGAGATAAACAACTGACACTTTAGAAGATATCCGAAGGCAGCCCTCTTTAGGGAAGTTTTTAATGTGTGACGTTTTGATGTATTTTTAAATTTTGTTGGAAGCCGCCCAGAGTGACTAGGGAAGCCCAGCCAGATGAGCGAGGTACAAATAAATCATCATCATCATCATCATTATTATTATTAGTTAGATTACTGTTATATGTGAGGCTGCCTCTGCAGACGGTTTGGAAAATTCAGTTGGTGCAAAATTCGGCACTCAGGTTGCTCACCAGGGCGAGACAGTTTGAGCCGATTGCCCTGGCCGCCAATTAGTTTCTGGGCCCAACTCAAAGTGCTGGTTTCGACCTATAAAGCCTCAGGGTTGCAATACCTTAAGGACCGCCTCTCTTCAAATGAACCGACCCTGAGATCATCTTCTGAGGCCCTCCTTGAGAACGGGGCCTTCTCTGCAGTGGCTCCCTGTCTGTGGAATGCTCTCCCCAGGGAAGTTTGCCTGGTGCCTTCATTATACACCAGGTGAAAATGTTCCTCTTCCACTAGGCCTTGGCTTGATTCATATTCTGCAGCCCTTTAAATGTGTTTGTGTGATTATTATGTTCTGCATTACGCTTTTATTATTATGCTGCATAAAGTAACGTTCTAAATATTGTACATTTGGATAAGGGGTGGTATAGAAATTGAATGAATAAAGAAATCCTTATTCTTGCTCTGTGTTCTTTGCATCTGGAACAATAATCTGCTGCCTTTGGAAATTTTCAGATTCGGCTTGATTTCTGTTGCATCGGACAAATTCTAACGCAACCAGAATTTGAATAGAATTTGAATGGGGGGGGCGGCTCTCAGTGGCTTCTGGCCCCAGCAGCTCAGCTCTGCCTCCAAGGAGTAATAGCAGCAAGTTGCTTCTGCACTCAGGATCCTGGTTTTGGGCTTCCCATTGGGCCTCTGGTTGGCCACTGAGCATTGCAAGAGATCAGCGGCTAAATATCACGATATGTTAGATACAGGTGAAACTCGAAAAATTCGAATATCGTGGAAAAGTTCATTTATTTCAGTAATCTAACTTAAAAGGTGAAACTAATATATGATGCCTCATTTAATATTCTAATTTTCTAATCTCATATATTAGTTTCACCTTTTAAGTTGAATTACTGAAATAAATGAACTTTTCCATGATATTCTGGGTCAGGAAGCCCCCCAGCTGGAAAGATGTCTTGCCAGCTCAAAATGTCTGGAACTGGTCTTCTGATCTGAGCGCCATACCGGTTGCTTTGCCCCGGGCCCTGGCAACCCTTGCTAGGCCACTGCGCGCAAGGACGTCCCCCACCCTTTGAGTCCTCCCCACACCCACCCTGCCAACAGATGCCAGGACAAGAATGTTTCCAGAGTTGGACCTTTATTGATGGTGGGAGTTCTGCAAATCAAGGAGAGCCACAAGGGTCCCTGGAGAAGCAACGAAGCACCATGGTCAGCATCTTGGGCCCCAGCAAGGAGGCGACCCCCCCCCCTAGAATGGCTGGCCGGCTCCCAGAGGCAGGCAGGAGGCATTGGGCAGGGAGGGGGCTGCCCCACAAGGGAAAGAGGGCGGGCGCTCTCCCTCCCACCAGCCATTTTTGGTATCCAGTGGTTCCAAAGTCACTTGTGGCAACTCATTAAAGAAGTGGTTAAGACACCAATGAAGGCAGCATATGGTCACAGCACCAGGGGTGGGGGAGGGGCTGGCCACCTACAGGCACCGAAGGGCCACGGGGCCCAAAGGCAGGGCCTGAGCCAGGGACCCCGGGAGAGGTGGGCTATGTGTATTTCTTGGGGTGTGGCTGTGGAGAAGGTCCCCTGTGCTTTTTCTCCAAGGGCCACCAATAGCCCGTCTTGGCATTGCGTGGGGTTGGGCTAGATGACCCGGTGGTCCCTCCTGACTCTGCAAGTTCTGAAATACAACCACGGGGGCACTGAAGGGAAAGAAGCCGAGAACCTGCACTGCCAGCCCTGCTCTGGAGAGCTAGAGGCCGCCTCTACTTCTGGTTGGGCCTAGAGGTGGTGGCGGCAGGCAGTCTACTGTTGCACAGGTGGTGGCAACCCCTTTGGGGATGGGCTCCCACTGATATGGCCCCCTCAACTGCACCCCATGGCAGAGCAGGCGCCACCTCCCAGTGAGAGAGAGGGCAAGGTGGTTAAGGCAAGCCTGGCATTGGACCTCAAGCCAGCACAGGAACACGCAGCGGGCACCTCCCTGCTGAAAGACACATGCCCAACCTTCCTCTCCCTTGAAATCCTAACCACAGAATTTGGCTCTTGTCCAACCCCAAACACCATTTCCACAGCCCCAAAGTTCAAGTTCAGGAGCTGTTAACCTTTTTCGTGTGTTCTGTCCACCTTCCCAAACTGGCAACCTCGACTGTGTTGCCGGGAGCCGTGGGGAAAGTGCCCCTATCCGCTCGGCCCCCTAGATGGTGATCCTTTGTGCTATGTAGCCGGGCTTGATTTCTGCCTTCCGGTCTCTGCCCCCCAGACCATGAACCTAACCCACACATCCCACAACCCGTTTCCTCACTAGTGCCGTCCTGGGAGAGGCAACCAGACACCCTGCCTCTCCACCCCCAAGTGGTGGCAGTGCCCATCACCAAGGCCTTTGTGCATTAGCAGACACACTCACGAAAATGCCCCTGTCCCCCCCAGTGCCTGTCAGAGGGGCGTCTCCTGCTTGTACTCGTAGCCGCAGGTGGGGCCCTCAAACTGCAGCTTGATAGCTGCCTTGAGGTGCAGGTGGGGGTCCAGGGTGTCGATGGAGAGGAGCAAGGGGCTCCCCACAGCCTCCCCGTTGTGCTTGTCCTGAGCCACTGTGGGTCGGGGCGGGGCAGCGAGGGCAGCCTGGCGCCGGCGAGGCAGTGAGTGCTGTTGGATCTGCTGGGCGAAGCTGAGGGTGTCCACGGGAACCGTCTGCGCGGTGGCCAGCGAGTGAAAAGTGGAGGAGGTGGCGGCGCCCGAGGAACACAGGGAGGCCTGCGACTTGGGATGCTCGCCTGCCGTCGAGTCCAGCGAGGCCGAGGGGGAGCTGCCCACGGAGCCCGGGGAGCCGGGCGCAGCCCCATGCCCCTCCAGCAGCCGCAGGACGTCCCGGTGGCCCCGCTTGGCCGCCACACGCAGTGGGGTCCGGCCAGCTCTGTCAAGGACGCCAGGGCTGGCCCCATGCTCCAGCAGGACTTTTGCCACCTCTGCCTGCCCCTCCTGGGCGGCAATGCCCAGCGCTGTGGCCCCCTGGTTGCAGGCATGGTCAGGATGAGCCCCGCCCTCCAGCAGCAGCCGGGCGATCTGGGCGTGGCCCCTCCAGGCTGCCAGGTGCAGGGCAGAACGGCGCTCCATGTCCAACGCGTCCACGTCGGCACCGTAGCTCAGCAGCAGTTGCGCCGCCTCAGAGTGGCCCTGCCAGCAGGCCACGTGCAGGGCTGAGCGTCCCTGGGCATCCTGCCCCTCTAGCCCAGCCCCATTCTCCAGCAGCAGCTCCGCCATCTCCAGGCGCCCCTCGAGCACCAGCAGGTACAGCATGGGGCGCCCCTCGGCGTCCGAGAGGTTGACGTCGGCCCCCTTGCGCAGGAGCAGCTCGGCCGTGGGTCGGTGGCCGCCCAGCATGGCCAGCGAGAGGGCGGAGAGCCCGTCGTAGCCCTGATGGTCGATGGGGGAGCCGCGGTCCAGCAGGAGCTGCACGGTGTCCGTGTGGCCCTCCTGGGCAGCCAGCATCAGGGGCACCCTCCCATCTCTGTTCGTTTCCGCCACACGGGCCCCGGCCTCCAGGAGCGCAGCGCACGTCCTGGCGTTGGCCCTGCCAGGCGGCTAGGTGCAGTGGGGTCCAGCCCAGGGCGTCCCGGTGGTTCTCGTCCAGGCCTCTCTCTAGCAGCGCCCGAACCACCGCCTCGCTGCCCTGCCCAGCGGCCACACCCAGTGCCGTGCGGCCCTCGCCGTCCAGCCCGTCGACGGCTGCCCCCCAGAGCAGCAAGGTGTCCACCACGGCACGGTGGCCCATGGAGGCGGCTGCCAGCAGAGGGGCACAACCAGCCCCGTCAGCCTCATCCACGTCCGCCCCGGCCTCCAGCAGCAGCTCCACCACGTCGGCGTGGCCCTCGTAGGCGGCCACCAGCAAGGGGGTCATGCCATCCCGGTCCTTGTGCCCCGGGGACGCCCCGTAGTCCAGGAGGAGCTCCACCACCTTGGCGTAGCCGCGGCTGGCAGGCACGCACAGGGCCGCCACCGACAGGGCCGTGCGCCCGTCCACGTCGGCGTGGTCCACGTGGGCTCCGTGCGCCAGCAGCAGCGCCACAATCTCGCGGTGCCCCATGTAGGCCGCCGCAATGAGTGCCGTGCGTCCCTCTGTATCTGCCCGGTTGAGATCAGCTCCATGCTCCAGCAGTGTGGCAACTATCTCCTCGTGGCCACCCCAGGCCGCCGCCCTCAGCGCCGTCCTCCCTTCTGCGTCAGCACAGTCCACGTTGGCGCTGGCTCGTAGCAGGACCCCCACGGCCTCACCGTGGCCCCCCCAGGCGGCTGCCCGCAGCGCCGTCCAGCCCTCCCGGTCAGGGCGATCTACCTGGGCGCCGTGTGCCAGCAAACAGAGCAGGACTTTGGTGTGGCCCTGGCGGGCAGCCAGGGTCATGGGTGTCTGTCCGTGCCGGTCCGGGACCTCGGCCTGTGCCCCACGTGCCAGGAGGAGACCCGCCACCTCGTGGTTGCCGCTGTGAGCGGCGCTGGCCAGCAGGGTGCGCCCTGTGACGTCCCGCTGGTTGACACTGGCGCCGTTTTCCAGGAGCAGCCGCACTGAGTCCTCCCTTTCGAGGGCCTGTTGAAGCGACGGCCCAGGCCCCTGGGAACCCATCCGTGCCCCTGCCAGCACCAGAAGCTCCAGCACCGCGGGTGCCAGGGGCAGCAGCAGCGCCTCCTCAGGCTCCAGGCAGCGCTCGACTGGCGCCCCGCACCACACCAGCCACAGCGCCAGCTGCCAAGCCTCCATGCCCAGTTCGGCGTGCAGCAGGTGGTGCGCCAGTTCATGCACCTGCTCGGGCAGCAGCACAGGTGCGCGGCACGAGGCGCTCATGGCGAGGGAGGCGTGCCCACGGGCCGGGCAGCAGAGGTACCTCTGGGTGCAGTGCTTGACGTCGCAGAGCCACTCGGCGAAGCTGGCGTGGAAGAGGATGCAGGTGCCACTGGGTCCCTGGTGCAGTAGCGGCGCTAGGGATGCCAGCCAGCCCTCAAATTCCTCCCGGGGCACCGGGCGGCGAGTCCACACCGCGGCGTACAGCTCCATGGGGCGCAGGGGGCGCGGTGCGGCCAGGAGGGCCTCCAGCAGGGGGCGGACAAGGGCAAAGTCCTGGCCCGGGAAGAGACGCTGGCACAGCCAGAGGTAGAGGCCGTAGAGGGTGCCCGGGATGTGGCGCACCTCGCGCAGGGTGACCAGCTCGCCCGCCACGCCGTCCAGCACCCGCTCCAGGTACAGCAGGCACCCGTTGCTCTTGATGTGCAGCTGGCTCAGGGCCTCGGCCGTGTCGCGGGTCAGGTGGCGCCGGAGGGGCTCCTCCCGGTCCAGCCGCGCCAGGATGTACTGCTGGACATCGCAGACCACCGGCTCCCGGCGAAGGTCGTCCAGGCACAGGCGCCGGAACCCTGTGGGGTGTTGAGGGGAGAACCGAGGGGTGAGAAGGGGTTGGGTCTCCCCCCAGAAAGCCCCCCACAAAAATGTGAGCCCCCTAAAAGTGGGGATAACATGCCAACAGTCGGCTGCACTTGGCACCCACAGGGGCACTCTAGAAAGTGCCACGAAATAGTAATAATATTTTGTATATGCCATCAAGGCTCAAGGTGGTTTTCACCAATTAAAGTACAAAAAGCTTTAAAAATACTAAAGATTATGGTTACCGTACATTGTGGTTTTATTCTGTATTTTTATGCTGTGAACTGTTTCAGCATCATTATTATAGATTATTATAGACCAGTGCTTCCCAAACTTGGGTCTCCAGCTGTTTTTTTAATAATTTTTATTAAACTTTCTGTTTTACAATTTAAAATACTCGTTTTACATCCTTAATATATCAAGACTGCCCTTCTTCTCTTTCCATGGTTCATTTTACATATCACAAATCCCTGCATATTTTACAAAAACTATGCCAATCAGTATTCCATTATTGCATCCACCAAAACTTATTTACCCTGTTGAATTTATCTTAATGCTGCCAGCATTTTCAGCTGTAAACAATTATCTCCCATATATTCAATAAAAGTTTTCCAATTGGAGATTGGTTCTCCAGCTGTTTTGGGACTACAACTCCCATCATCCCAACCTATCAGGAGCAGTGGTGAGGGAGGATGGGAACTGTAGTGCAAAAATAGCTGGAGACACAAGTTTGGGAAACACTGTTCTAAATTAAGGTAAAGGGACCCTGACCATTAGGTCCAGTCACGGACAGCTCTTGGGTTGCGGCGCTCATCTCCCTTTATTGGCCGAGGGAGCCGGCGTACAGCTTCTGGGTCATGTGACCAGCATGACTAAGCTGCTTCTGGCAAACCAGAGCAGTGCACGGAAACGCCATTTACCTTCCCGCCAGAGCGGTACCTATTTATCTACTTGCACTTTGACGTGCTTTCCAACTGCTAGGTTGGCAGGAGCAGGGACCGAGCAACGGGAGCTCACCCCTGTCACGGGGATTCGAACCGACGACCTTCTGATCGGCAAGTCCTAGGCTCTGTGGTTTAACCCACAGCGGCACCCGCATCTAAATTCTAAATTATCTAAGTTCTAAATTATCATATTGTAAAACCGGAAGGTACCAACTAGTCCAACCCCCTGAAATGCAATGATGATGATGATGATGATAATAATAAATTTATTTATGCCCCACCCACCCCAGCAATAATCTTTTGCCCAACACAGGACTTGAACCCACAACCCTGAAAGTAAGAGTCTCATGCTCTTCCAACTGAGCTATCCCAGATGAAGGGGGTGATATGCAACTTTAAAGAAGATTACTGTTAAAGAGAAGTTAGCTGCATATGGGGGCATTGCACTGGGGACTTCTGCAGCATTTCTGAAGAGCCGCCCGGCTTTTAGAGACCCAGACGGACCCAAGTCCATGGCCCCCCTCCCCTTTGGCCGGGCCCCCCTCACCGTTGAAGAGGCGCAGCACCCCCTTGCTGTGGGAGCGGGCAGTGCAGACAGGAGCAGCCAGGGGGGCAGCAGCTGCAGGTGGCCCCCCAGGAGCTGGGCGATGGTCCGGCTGGGCCCCGGAGGGGGGGCTCGCTCCTCCTCGCGCTCCGCCTGGCCGGCGTCCAGAGCGTCCACCACCAGCAGGAGGGGCTTGGCAGGGGGCGGCAGGTCCAGCAGGGGCCAGCAGGACGGCCCTGGGGATGGAAGAAGGAAGGAAGGGTGAATTAAGAAAAGGTGGGAAATGATGTACAACGAGTTTGAAGAAATGTTCCAATTAACATTTGGTAAAAAATGCCTGAAGCATTTTAGGAAAAGACCTGCCAAGGAAACTGAAAAATATCTTATGTATGCGACAATGGCGGCAAGAGTCTTAAATAGCACAAGGATGGAAATCCGCGACCAAAGAACTTGTGGCAAGAGAAACCGATGGACTAAGCGGAATTGGCGAAATTGACTCATAAACTACGTGATAAAGGACAACTGTGACTTTAAAGAACTTTTACAAATTACTTAAAGAAACAACAAAATGAACTGGACTCCTTGGCAGGTTTTGAATAAACATGCGCAAACTTTTTATTGGTAACATGTTTGTTGTTGTTGTTTAGTTGTTTAGTCGTGTCCGACTCTTCGTGACCCCCTGGACCAGAGCATATATTGGCAACATATATATAGATAAATTAAGGATCTTTACAATTTTATAATATGCAGAGAAAAACATGCTGAAAAACCAGAGAGAGGAGCTGAGGGAAATCTGGGGGGGGGAGGGAAAATGGGGGGGGAATGAGGATGATGTATCTTTGATAAATTGTTATGCTGGGGGGGGGCACACAATATGAATATTGCAAATGGGGAACACCCAGAGACATTCTTTCATATGTGGGCGACTTGTAAAAGGGTAAAAAAATGGGAAATAATTTAAAATTTTTAAAAATTAAATCTTCATTAAATAATTTATAATGAATTGTAAAAAATGTTTAAAAGTACTTTCCCCCCAAAAACCCCAGAGTCTTTTCTGTTGAGGATAATTCAGACTGGAATTCCCAGGTGTCAAAAAAGGTTATTTATGCATGCCAATACTGCGGCCTGTGTTTCGTTAGCCCAAAAACGGAGAACCAAAGGAGGACGGCAACTTAAGCTGATGGAATATGTGCAGCTTGCAGACTTAACATGTAGAATAAAAGAACAAGAAGAAAAAAATGTTTAGAGGGGAGTGGAAAACGTTTATTGAATATATGGGGGGGGATTGTGCAGAGCTGAAAACGGGGGCAGCATTAAGATCAATTCAACAGGGGGGGGGCTTTTTAGTTTGGAAGAAAGGTGAGTTAAGTGGCAACAGGATAGCAAGGCAGCTTGCGGGCAGCGGGGATTTGATTTAAATCATTTTTTTTTCATAAAGACGCATTCTTGCTGGTATAATCTTAATATTTACAACCAGATGAAGGTTTCATTTCTGAAATAATAAATTTCCAGAGTAGTTTTTTACACTTACCCGTATTTTTCGCCCTATAGGGCGCACTGGCCCATAGGGCGCACCTAGTGGGGGTTTTGGGGGGGGGAATAAAGAAAAAAATATTTATTCCCCCCCCCCGGCACGGGGCTGGGACGGGGGAAGCCCGAGCACACACGACATACGCCACATTTCTGTTATAAATTCATAGAAAATCAGCCATACATCGGATTTGCACTGTTCCATTTTTATTTTACTCCATATGACAAGAACTAACAAAGGGGGGTGACTTATTCCTGGTCAGCCATAATCCCTCCACCATCCAGCACATCTGGCAGGAGCCCTGCCCAGATGATCCCAGACAGAAGGCAATTAAGATCACAAAGAACTTGCATATGGGAGTGGATTCAGCATGGACTGAAACAAAGGACAATGATCAGATCTTCCCTCTGGGGGGCAGGAAACTGCAAACACCCCTTTGTCTCCTGGAAGTGACTCATGGGGAGGGGGGAAAGGAGGAACCAGCCAGGTGACAAGACACTCAGGTTACCACCAACTCCTCCCTCAACCCCTCCTTTCTGTAATGTATGCATGATGTTTTCTGGGGGTGGGCTTGACCTAGAGGAGGGGAATTTTCAAAAGTTTTTATAAGACCTTGCACACTGTTTTTCTTGGTCTTTGCTCTCACCTGCAAGTGAGGGGAGCACCCTGTCGCGACAGTCTTTCTTCAATAAAGACCAAGCCTACAGGCTGCTGATTTGCTTCAATTTACTCTGGTTGGTGTCTTTACTTTTTGTCCAAGGGAGCCCTCGGATTTTTCTGGTAACAAATCTTATAAGCTTCTATCGTATCTCCTCTTCCTCGCCTTTTCTCTACGCTAAAGCGTCCCGCTCAGCTGCCTTTGCGAAGAGGATGGGGCAGCCCGTGCCCCCACCTGTCCCCCCTCACCCCGTCCTGCTCTGAGCTTCCCAGCAGAGGCTGCCAACCCAGCCTGCCCCCAGCTGGAGCCTCCAGGATCACGTGACGCCTCTCTGCCCCCACCTGCCTCCACCTGCCTGCCAGTTCCTCCCTCTCCCCAGTCTCCCTCTCACCTGTCCTGGGCCGAAGCCCCCTCAGCCTCCTGGGGCATCTTCCTGCTGCTTCAGGGAGAAGGTGAGTTCCTCATGGGGCCCCGGGGACCTGCAGGAGGGGGAGGTCCCAGCCACCCCATAGCACTTGGGGGCCTTTACCCTCACCCCAATAATTCTGTCTCCTGCATAGCTCCTCCACAAGCTCACCCCCAATTCCTTTCAGGCTCCCACCACCCCTGCGGATCTGCCTGCCCCAGAGGAATTGAGCAGCTAGCAGGCTGGCCTGGGAATGGGGCAGCCATGGGGAAAGAGACAGAGAGAGTCTGCCAGGGCTCATGAGATATTCATGGTGACACCTGAGACAGCAGCTGCCATGCTGGCCTGGCCCCCCACCCCTGGTTCCTGGCAGCCAGAGATGCAACGGATGCTCTTAGGACCAGCTTAATTCCATCCTCTGGAGTCTTTTCCTGCTATTTTTAGTGCTTTGCAATATTGTGGTGTTTTTTTTTTAAAAAAATACATTTTTATTAGTTTTAACATATTAATTAACATTCATACCACAGAACTTCACATCTTATACAATATTTTTCGGACTTCCGTCAACACCTCTGATGAATTTCTCTTCTTATCACTTATTATGCATTTCATAATTTCATATTACCTTTAATTATCTTTAACTAATAATTTCCCTCATTGTCTTTTTTGCAATATTTCAAATAATTCACCTTACAAAACTTCTTGCAAACCTACTAGCATAATCTGTCGATCACAATTACTTTTCAAATAGTCTGTAAATTTACCCCAGTCTTCTGAGAATCTCTGATCCCGCAGGTTTTGAATCCAGTGATTTGCAATATTGTACTTGCACAACAACGTTGGTGCAACCTGCCCTGGGACTCCAAAGTAGCGGGCGAAACTCACAGGAAATAGCGAAGCTGGAAGGGGTTCCAGCGGCCAACGACTCCAAACCCCCACAATGCAGGAATCACCTCAAAAGCTTCCCTGGCAGGTGGCCGTAAACTGCAATAAAGCAGTAATCAGTCAGTTTTATTGCACATAGCCAAAGGCTGCTGCAATGTACACAGAAGCATTCAACAATTAAAATAAAATATACTGGATTGATACAAAAAACTCAAGACAAGGCATTACCTACTCTAAACAGAGCTATAAAAGTACCTTAATATACAGGTTAAGACATTAAACAATAAAATTAATAGGCTAAAATTATCACATGGCCACTAATATATTAAAAAAATAGTGTTAATTAATACAATGTGCAATTATATTCGGAGTTTGGTAATATCTTGATGTAGATAGGGTCAAATAAATTCATCTCCTTTAAAGTTGGTGGCTACCTTGGCTATATAATTTGCTCTAATTTTCCTAGCAGCAGTTGCAAAGAGTGCTACACGCCAGGTCACATACTTATCTGTGTCTGCGAAGAGATATAAAATCACGTCAGAGGGGTTCAGGGCAGGGGACCTGGTCGTTATAGGTGCTAAAAATCATTCTCTCGCTTCATTATATAAGGGGCAGCGCAAGATATAATGCATAATGATAATGTTACCTGCCTAGCCAAGTCTCTGAGAGGTGGGAGACGCCAGGAGTTTCAGATCCATCTTTGGTTTCCTTGGGGAAAAGGTCAGCAAAGACGGTGGTGTCTTTGGACTATATGATTTTATTTACATACAACCTGAATGAAGGATGGAGGGTCTCCCAGCTGCAGCACCCCAGGAGCTCTTGCTTCTGCAGCAGTCACAGCTTTGGTTCCAGCGCAGAGTGAGCCGCTCTCTGTGTCCCCCGTCTCCTGGCTCAGATCCCACCCCGAAACTCTGCCTCTCGCTCTCCTACCTGGCAGGCAGGTGAGGTGGGGAAGACCCGCCTTGTGTGTCCTAGAGCACAAAGCAACTTCTTTGGAGATGCGAATGGCGACGCTTAACTGCCGTATTTTTCGCTCCATAAGATGCACCTGACCATAAGACACATCTAGTTTTTTAGAGGAGGAAAACAAGAAAAAAATATTCTGATCGAAACAGTGGGTGTATGATAGTTGTGGTTCATGCTGTGGCCACAGACATGTGACCTGATGGTGAATTCGGGGTGACCCAATGCAAAAATCTTGAGGATCAATGCGGATCCGTGCTTTGTAACCATGTTCTTTCACCATTGCGGTCCCACACAACAGTTGATGTGTGATTTTTTTTGGTGGAGGCTGTAGCCATGGACATGCTATGTGATCTGATGGTGAATTTGGGGTGACCCAATGCAAAAATCCTGAGGATCCATGGACTTCTACCTCCCTCCTCCCAGGCAGCCTCCTTTATCGCTAGCGTCCCTTACCTCTCTCCCCGATCGGCAAACTATCAGTGGTTTTGTTTCAACACCCACTTCCATATTTTTTTTAATAAATAAAGCATGATCTGCTTTTCTCCCCTGGGCAGTTCGGCTCCAGGGGACCAGCATTCGCTCCATAAAATGCACAGACATTTCCTCTTACTTTTTAGGAAGGAAAAAGTGCGTCTTATGGAGCGAATAATACAGCAGCTAAGTCCAGCGCCCTGTTCTCCCACAGGCCAAATACTCCCAAGAACCTAGCAGTGCAGGTAGACTGCCTCTGGGGCTGGAGGCTCCACAAGGACGTCCAAAGAGGCTCCTGGATCAGGCCACAGGGGGAACACCCAGCCCAGCCTCCTGCCCTCACAGTGACCAACCAAATGCCTGTGTGAAACCCACCATCTGAGCCCTTCCCCCTCCTGTGGTTTTTGGCAACTGGCATTTTGGAGCATCACTGCCTCTGACCGTGGAAGCAGAGCAGAGCCAAGCTGCTAGTCATCTGTGTCTCCTGTGGGAGGGAGTTCCACAGTCTGGTTTTTTATTTTTTTCATCCCCCCCAGTTTTATTTATTAACATTCTTATATTACACTGGTAAACATTGCCATATGACAGTGGTACCTCAGATTAAGTACTTAGTTCATTCCAGAGTTCCGTTCTTTACCTGAAACTGTTCTTAACCTGAAGCACCACTTTAGCCAATGGGGCCTCCTGCTGCCGCCGCGCCGCCGGAGCACGATTTCTGTTCTCATCCTGAAGCAAAGTTCTTAACCTGAAGCACTATTTCTGGGTTAGCGGAGTCTGTAACCTGAAGCGTATGTACCCTGAAGCGTATGTAAGCCGAGGTACCACTGTACATTACAGAGCTTATCATAATATATTTTCCAACATGTATACCAAGATTATATACAAACGTTATATACCTGAAAAGAAATAAAAGAAAAACAAAGAGAAAAAACGAAGACAATTCCCCCACCCCCAAATCATATGCGTACCAACACATTGGACTTCCTGTCTATCCCGTTATATATTCCCCCCCTTTTTTTTTTACAAATGAATGTACTCTTATTATTGTATATTCCTTTTACATTTTATCTAATACATTCCTATAACAATATGGGCTCTTGATCTTATTCCTCAACTCAGTCTCTCTCCAACGTCAATCAAATGCTAGCATAGATAACGAACCTTTACTGTATTTTTGAACGTATGTTTTCTATCTATCCCATTTTCCCATAAATTTTTGGTTTGAATTGCCTCTCAGGCTCTTTGTCAGCGGCGCCATCTCAGCAAATTTTTGTAGCTTGTACTTGTCATGCCAGTCTGTTCTTGTCGGGGCTTCCTATTCCTTCCACCCTTTTGTCACCAAAGTCCGAGCTGCGGCCCTTGCATTTAAGAATCCCTCCCTAAAGGCCTTCGGGATGTCCCTGCCAACAATGCTTAACAGAAATGCCTCTGGTCTTTTGAAAAAGGTTTGGAATAACCTTTTAAAAAAGGGAGTTCCACAGTTTAACTGCGCTTGGCCAGCCAAGCATTTGCATCTCACCCCCCAGGGGGCCTGTCTGTTGGCGAGGCTGATGCCACCTGTTACGGAAAAAATCTAGGTGTGAGGCTGCTCAGTCCCCCAGCTGGTCGGGCAGAGCCCAATGTCCCTGCGGAATAAAGGAAGGAGCCCAGCCACCAACCGGAGGAAATGGCTGTAGAACAAAGTTTATTGCGCAACAGGCTCAAAGAGGAATTTTAAAACCCCGAGGAGGGGCGACAAGGACTTTTAAAACTTTCCCACCATATTCCAGAATACAGTTCGTACAGCATCCTTGCTACATCACTGACATGTCACCAAAGGGGAGGGGTTAGCCTTGGCAAAGATGTCCAGACAAGTCCTTGGTACAAGATTAGCATAAGCAGACATGGCAGGGCAAGACCCAGGTACCGTGGTACCTCAGGTTACATACGCTTCAGGATACAGATTCCGCTAACCCAGAAATAGCGCTTCAGGTTAAGAACTTTGCTTCAGGATGAGAACAGAAATCGTGCTCCAGCGGCAGCAGGAGGCCCCATTAGCTAAAGTGGTGCTTCAGGTTAAGAACAGTTTCAGGTTAGGTACAGACCTCCAGAACGAATTAAGTACTTAACCTGAGGTACCACTGTATAAGATTAGCATAGGCAAACACCTCTGAAGTCCCACCACCCAAAGTACAATAGAACTTCCTTTGCATGTCTGGCCCCTTGGCAAGTCAGGTGGTGAGATTTGGCCTCCTTTGGCTAACAATGAGCCCAGCACTTGTCACCTCTGGGAACTTCCTGGAGTCCTTTTTCAAGGGGAAAATAGCTTTGGAATGGAGGAAACTGGGAAAGGAGATGATTTTATATTATTTTTAAAGCTAGGTGACTTCCCTGAGCTGTCAAGTTGAAAGGATACATTCAGGCATAATATTTGTAACACTTAACAACTTTAAAGATGTGCCCCCCCCGTAATTTCCGTAACACCCCCCATGACCATCTCACCCTCTCTTTCTTTCCAGTTCTCAAGGCCCCCTCCCTAGGAGATGGCACAAAGCCCTGCGGATCACAAGGCCCTGGCGCTGGCGCTGAGTGGCGCCCAGGACTGGCTGAAGTCCCTGCAGCAGCACCACCTAGTGGGCCTGGCGGGGGCCCAGCGCTCCCTGGAGGAGGCCCTGGCTGCAGGGCTGCAGGAAGAGGAGCGGCTGTGGGCACGCGCCCGGGC